TTCAGACAATTTTTGCTAAAAAGAGGATGTTCAGAGGTCCTAATTTTGGCCTTCCCACTGTCATACTTTTCTTTTGTTTTTAATATCTCTGTAAAATGTTTAATTAGGTATACCACTTATAGATGGCCATTTAAAAATCTCAACTGGAGAATTTTATCTTTTATTAGGAAAAGTAAACCATTTGAATATATTGTGCTCATTAATATATTCAGTTTTAACCCTACTCCTTCATTTTACATTTCATTTATTATATTTTCTAATTTTATTTCTTTTTATTTTTCAAGTATTTTTAGACTTATCTTCATACCCCTCTTCCCCCTAATAGTTTGAAGCTCTACTTACTAGTTCTGTTTTAGCACAAGTTACCATAAACATACAGATTAGAATATCTAAATGTATTTTTATCACAATAAAGGCTAAGTAGTATAATAAATACATAAAATCAGATTTCAAAACAATCTTTAAAACAAAGAAAACTAAATTATTACAGTGTACTTTGGTGTTTCTACCTTGGGAAAAAAACTTGGAGTAACTTTAATAATTGCTGCTATTTATTGAGTGAGTGCTATGCACCAAACAGGATGCTAACCTTTCAGTTGTGAATTTATTTAATCTTCACAACTCTGTAATAAATCTTTTTATATATGATTAGACTAGTTCAGAGAATTTTGTTAAAGTGCCCAAAGTTACATCAATTACAGATAACAATATCATGGTTCAAGCTTGGATCTGCCAAATTCCAGAGCCAAAGTTACTCTGCTTCTCAAATGCTTGTCGCTTTCCATGGTGAAAATTTAAGAGCACATTTAATTGGGAGGAGGGGTGGTGGTTGTGTACATGTTTATGAGAACAGATAATAGAAATTTGTCCAAGTATCTCTCATCAGACAAAATTCTATGTATAAAGGAGAAAAAGAAAATATAATGATGGGTGAAATCTAGAAAAATGGAAACGTGCTAAAGGATGGCCTGGAAGGAAGGGACAGCTGGGATGGTATGAGAAGGAAGTCAAAGAAAGAGAAGAAGTCAATTTCTTTTGAGTGAAGGGGACAGATGGGAGATGAGCAAAGACAAAAGAGGCCACGTGGGTAGGTGTCTTCAGTTAGAGGGCAAGTCACTAGAATTTGATCAATCAACAAGAATTTATTTACTGGACTCCTGGGCACTGTGAGAGATACTAAAGAATGTACGCTCATCCGGGGAATGACAATGATGTAGATAAGACAGATGGCTCGAACTGGGGCAATAATGCTGAAGGAAATGACTAGAGGCAGGAGGAGGCAGAAATAAATAAGACAATCCCCATGTGAGCTAGCTTGCACATCAGATATCTGAAATTTATGTGAGAATGGTAAGATATAGAGGAAATGCTATAGTTGCTATTGAATTATAGGTAAAAGATTTGTGGACAGAAGGAGAAAGATGCCATATCAACTGCCCTTTTCATTTCTGCTTTTGTGCAAATTAAAAGATTATTGAAGATGAATGAAAATGCACCCCCAGGTACATACACTACTGCAGACAATGCTTTACATCCTCCTTCTAAATGTGAATATGGTTTAGCTAAGACTGGGTAGGGCCTGATGAATACTATTAATATCAAATAGGTCTAGTCTCCTCAGAAGGCACTAGGAAGTCTTTGTGTTGAAGAAAATTACAAGCAAGATTTAATAGGTGTCTAAAGACATTCAACAATGTAATGAAGAGGGATTTCCACTCATTAAAGTACAAATAAGTCAAGGTTAGTCGGTGCTAGTGGAAATGGAACCCAACTCAGAGGCATGAACAGAAATAAGCTTTCAATAGATTATCATATGTGCATTTATTTTCTCTAAAGTATCTACTGAATATATTCTACAACAAAAATGATAGCTGCTAGGAGTCTTCTTATATTCTAAGCTCTTTACATTTATTATTTTGTCAAATCCTCACAACCATAATATGTAGTTGTTGTTAAGTGTCCCTATTTTACAAATGAGAAAAATGATATTCAGACATGCTAAAACAACTGACTCAATATCACATAGTCAGTAGGTAGAAGAGGAGCAATTCACATCTTCAGTTCAGTTCAGTCGCTCAGTCATGTCTGACTTTGCAGCCCTGTGGACTGCAGCACGCCAGGCCTCCCTGTCCTTCACCATCTCCTGGAGCTTGCTCAAACTCATGTCCATCGAGTTGGTGATGCCATCCAACCATCTCATCCTTTGTTGTCCCCTTCTCTTCCTGCCTTTAATCTTTCCCAGCATCAGGGTCTTTTCCAAGGAGTCAGTTCTTTGCATCAGGTGGCCAAAGTATTGGAGCTTCAGCTTCAGCATCAGTCCTTCCAATGAATATTGAGGATTAATTTCCTTTAGTATTGAATGGTTTGATCTCTTTGCAATCCAGGGGACTCTCAAGAGTCTTCTCCAACACCACAGTTTAAAAGCATCAATTTTTCGGTGCTCAGCTTTCTTTTTTAGTCCATCTCTCACATCCATACATGACTACTGGAAAAACCATAGCTTTGACTGTATGGACTTTTGTCAGCAAAGTAATGTCTCTGCTTTTTAATATGCTGTCTAGGTCAGTCATAATTTTCTTCCAAGAAGCAAGTGTCTTTTAATTTCATGGCTGCAGACACCATCTGCAGTGATTTTTGGAGCCCAAGAAAATAAAGTCTGTCACTGTTTCCATTGTTTCCCCATCTATTTGCCATGAAGTGATGGGACAGGATGCCATGATCTTTGTTTTTTGAATGCTTAGTTTTAAGCAAGCTTTTTCACTCTTCTCTTTGACTTTCATCATTCTGTGTTATATTTCTTTTACCCTGAGACAGGCACCTTTTAGGTACCCGGGAGATAAAAATTAATACTTGGCAGTCTTTGTTCTTGTGAAACATATAAACTAGCTTGGAGAAAGAATGCCAAACAAACAGCTGTGATGGGATAAAATATTTACTGTAACAGGCATATACTGAGTGACTGAGTAAAGAAATACACAAATTTGCCTAGAGGTGTCAGAAACTACTTGAGCCTACACTTTAAGGATCAGCAATTGTTTCCCAGGGGTTGAAGGTACAGATGGAATTATTATAATACGTACAAAGCAGTGCATACAATGACCCAAAGGTAGGAAAGAGTTTGAACTATTTAGGAAACTCTAAGGCAGTCAGAAAGACTGAAACATAAAAAGTACAGTATCAGATGAAGCTGGAGAGGCAAGCACTTGTTTGCCAGGCTGAAGAATGTAGGTTATACCTGTAGGAACTGGAGAATCATTGAACTCTTTCCTGTGAAGAGTTTGGTCAATAAAAGAGATTTTACATGATATTATTTCAGAGTCCATAAGGCTAAAAAAATTCAAAAACTGGAGATGTCCAGGTCACAGCTAAATGGCAGCATTACAAACAGAAGACACTATTAGAAATTTGAGGGCAGGTGGTGGGAAGGCAGCACAGAGACCTGGTGCAATTCACCAGAGGTTGCACCCAGGAGAGAGACACTTTGCATATAACTAACTGCCTTAGCCAGTTTTTCCCTCCTTGCATTTGTTCACCCAATACATATATGTTTAGGTAACCATAGCCTTGGCAGCATTAGTATTTCAATAGCAATACCTACATAATGGTGCATGGCTTTTAAAATCCATGGCTGACCTCCCGGAAATTGACTTCAGGTATGATGTTGGTTTAGAGATTTGTGGAATAGTCTAATACTACTTGGAGAATGCCAGCAGTAAGTATCCTGAAGGATACTATCTGGAGTATCCAGGGTGACCAGATGAGCCTATGGGTATTGTTGTTCATTGTATCTGACTCTTTGTGACCCCATGGACTGCAGCATGCCAGGCATCCCTTTCCTTCACTATCTCCCAGAGTTTGCTCAAATTCTTGTCTATTGGGTTGGTGATGCCATCCAACCATCTCATCCTCTGCCGTCCCCTTCTCCTCCTGCTCTTCTTCTCTCAGCATCAGGGTCTTCTCCAATGAGTCAGTTCTTCATGTCAGGTGGCCAAAGTATTGTAGCTTCAGCTTCAGCAACAGTCCTTCCAATGAATATTCTAGGTTGATTTCCTTTAGGATGGACTGGTTTGATCTCCCCACAGTCCAAGGGACTCTCGAGTCTTCTCTAGCACCACAATTCAAAAGCTCCAATTCTTCAGCACTCAGCCCTCTTTATGGCCCAACACTCACACCCATGCATGACAACTGAAAAAAACATAACTTTGACTAGATGGACATTTGTCAGCAAAATGATGTCTCTGCTTTTTAATATGCTGTCTAGGTTTGTCATAGCTTTTCTTCCAAGAAGCAAGCATCTTTTAATTTCATGGCTGTAGTCACCATTCACAGTGATTTGGGAGCCCCCCCAAAATAAAATCTACCACTGTTTCCATTTGTTCCCCATCAATTTGCTAAGAAGTAATGGTATTGGGTGCCATGATCTTAGTTTTTTGAGCCTATGGGTACATGAGTACAAATTCCCCAAAAGTCTGGGCACTAGAGTAGTTCAATGAATCTCAGATAACAGGCACAGTTTAACACCTTAAGAGAAGAAGATCTTCAGGAAAAAACCACACTCTCTTATACACCCAACAGAAGATAGCGTATAAAGTATAAGTAGCAAAATTCCAATTATCTAAAGCCAAGAAGAATTGAACAGACACCCTGGGTTATAGAATTCAGATACTACCTCCCAGTGGGACAGAGATCAAAAGATTTTGAGTAGAGCCTCAAATCATACATATGTTTGTATGTGAATGTATATGTTTATATAGTAAATGGATGTTGTCATTTCATTCTTGTCACCAATTAGTGTATGCCCATAAACAAGCTGTTTCCCTTCTGGGGTTGCAGCTTTCTCATCTATAAGGTGAAAAGGCTGGATCTGATTATCTCTAAGGTTCCTTCCAGCTATAATATTTTATTACGATTCCAGATGGCTACTGGAGATGATAAAATTCTTTGTCAACTTATAATTACACTATGTAAATTATTATAACATTAGATTTTTCTCCTCCTAGGAACTGTCGTGTGAAAATGACCCAACAAATGCAGAATTTACATCTTTCTCAGTCAAAAAAGCATAGCGCCCCTTCGTCTCCCAATGCTGCCAAACGCCTGTACCGGAACCTCTCAGAGAAGCTGAAAGGGAGCCACTCTTCATTTGATGAGGCCTATTTTAGGACAAGAACTGACCGGCTGAGTCTCAGAAAGACTTCGGTGGTAATAAAACTCTTTTTATTCCCATCTCGGTTTGATTTGTGCAGTTGTGTTTGGATTTAAGGAGATTTTAAGATGATCCTCATTAACTTCAGAACCTGATGTTTGCAAGTTTATAAATGTTGAAAGTCAAGTAAGACAAGAACTGCACATATATATGTTTTCGCCAGTTTTGATGTGTGTGGGATTTTTTCTTTTTTTTTTTTTTTTTTTTTTTTTTTTTTTTTTCTTTTTTTTTTTTTTTCTCTTTTTCATGGGAGCTCTCCGAGGAGCGGCTTTGACATATAGAGTTTTTGATCTCATATGGTTTTTTTTGGGAGCCCGGGTTTTTTTTCATATTGTGCACTATTTTCTATATATATTGTTGTATATATCTCTATCGCTGTTATTATTGGGGGGGAGCGCAGGGGTGTGGGAGGGGGACAGGGGGGAGGAGAAAAAAACTTGGAAAAGGAAACCGTTGGGTTTGGAAGGGGAATTCGTTTTCCCAAAATTTTGGGCAACTCCGTTCCTTGAATTTTTTCTTTCCTTTTTTTTTTGAGTTCCCAGTCGGTCAAAGCAGAAAGGGATGAACAATTGGTAATAGCATTCCATTAGCTAATAACTGAAAGCATACCAAATGATATCTTCCTGTTGCTAAGTCCTCTGGCCTTTATAAGATACAGTGAATTATGTAATGGAGAATAAAGAGAAGTACTGGGGATGTTATAGACATTCTCATATAGGAGGTTCTTATATTGTCCCTCGGTAAAAGCTGAGAGCGTAACATTAGCATGATCAGGAAGGGTATCTATGCAGGGGTTTATGGCACCATTTGTTTGGGCTTAAAACAGAAATGAGCCCTAGCCTTCCCAGATAGAAGCAGACTGGAGTTCGCCAACAGAATCATGGAGAAGGAAATGACTTAAGAGTGAGAGCAAATACGATGGCACAGGAGAAATTAGACATACTAAGAATCACAAGCAAATACACAACTGTGTTGTTTGGAGACGGAAGCATATTAACTTTGCACTTTGGTTTCTAATTTTTCTCATTTCAAACACATCTTCTAGGAGGACTTGGTTAAGCTATGGCCTAAGCCTCAGAGGCTCTTCAGCTTAGCAGATTGTCGACAAAACACTTTTCCAATCAGCAGACTGCCATGTGGCAAAGAGAACTACCTACCAAATAGCTCCATCCCTTGGGTCCCCATTGTCAAAATATTCACATAATAACTTTGTGTTTTCCTCAAATTTCATTCATGTGTTATGCAGTCAGTTGAGCCGGCCTGCAGCCTTTGGTGGAAAAAATAGATTTTTGATGAGACTAAAAATAAAACCTGCCAACCTTAGTATTTGGTTACTAAAGGTTTAATCAAACAACCCATATGCTAGGTTAGGACCACTGGTATTTTAACATGTTTAACCACCAGTCAATTCCTGGAGAAGATACCAGATAAATGTATGAATAGTATGTGTGTTGTTCTTCTCCCAAGAGCTATAAAAATACATATTTGAGAGAATTCTAAAGGTTTTCTCCTTTGTTTACTATTAATATTATGAAAGAAGCTTTCAAAGGAAATATATTGTCTCTAGCTATTTTTTTTCTATAGGTGACTTGTATCCTATGAATATTGAAATTTTGGCCCTCTCAGGCAGCAAAGAAGTTTGTTACCTAATCCACTGAAACCTTCCCTGAACACTACCTCTTGATTCCCTCATCTGAAGTTTCAGAAATGCGAGGTATTCAGTGACTATGACCCCAGGTTGAGAAAGCACAGAGGTTAGTACAAAGGAGTTAGGGAGTCAGTCTGCAGGCCGTATGGACCTATTAGAAATTTGTAAATAGCGAAGGGACATGTAGCATTGTAAATTTTAGAAAGATTACTCTTGTATGGAGTAGTGATGGAGAAGAGTAAGACGAGAAACAGGTAGGCCGTTGCCATAATCTGGGAGCAGTCTGAGCAACTGTCCAGACATGGGGATGGAAAAGGAGGGGATAACAGAGAAAGGGCATGTGCTCTCAATTCCGAGCCAGTCATAATTTAAGTTTCCTGTGCTATGTTATCTATGCCAGCATTTCCCATACTATGTTTTGTAGAACATTATTCCAGGAGAGTCAAAACAAATAGAATGAAAAATATGTTCTGTGAAAAAAATGATTTGAAACAGGTCATATTCCTCACCTATGAGAGGGTCACAATTGCATATTAAAATTAGTAAAGGCCTTGGGATTTCCCTAGTAGCTCGGGGTCAAAGAATCTGCCTGCCAACGCACAAGACACAGGTTGTATCCCTGATCTGGGAAGATTCTACTTGCCACAGAGCAGCTAAGTCCATGCACCGTAGCTGTTGAGCCCATGCTCTAGAGCCAGCAAGCCTCAACTCCTGAGCCCACAAGCCACAATTACTGAAGTCCGTGTGCCCGAGAGTCCGTGCTCCACAACAAGTGAAGCCTCTGCAATGAGAAGCTTATGCGCCATGACTAGAGAGGAGCCCCCACAGCAGCACAGCAGCAACAAGGGCCCAGCACAGCCAAAAACAAAATAAAATTATTTTTTTAAATACGTTAAAACATAATAATATACAGAAAATTATGTTCAGTCCAGCTCAGTTGCTCAGTCATGTCCGATTCTTTGCAACCCCATGGACTGTAGCACACTAGGCTTCCCTGGCCATCACCAACTCCTGAGGCTTACTCAAACTCACGTCCATGGAGTTGGTGATGCCATCCAACCATCTCATCCTCCGTCGTCCCCTTCTCCTCCTGCCTTCAATCTTTCCCAGCATCAGGGTCTTTTCCAATGAGTCAGTTCTTCGCATCAGGTGGCCAAAGCATAAAATAAAATTATTTTTAAAAAGATGTCAAAAATATAATAATATACAGAAAATTATGTAATGTAATTTATAAAAAAAAAATTAGCAAAGACCTTGAGAGGTCTTACAGTAAAATAATGCAATAACTTGATTTTATCTTAACATTGACCAAATTCATTTGACCACATGTTACTTTCTTCATAGAACACCTCATGATGGCCTCCTGAACAGTATTCCACAGAAGACTGGTTTGAGAAAAACTGATGTCTGCTCTTATCTATAGACTGTATACTGAATTGTCTCCATGCATCTACATGTACAGATCTTTTCAATGCTCAATAGAAAGATGGAGGGAGGGCCCAACAGTGTTTGCTTTAGAGACCGTGGACTAAAAGGGCTTCTGTAGTGGCTCAGTCAGTAAAGAATCTGCCTGCAATGCAGGAAACCCAGGTTCAATTCCTGGGTCAGGAAGATCCCCTGCAGAAGGAAATAGCTACCCACTCCAGTATTCTTGCCTTGGAAATCCCATGGACAGAGGAGTCTGGTAGGATGCATTCATGGGGTAGCAAGAGTCGGACAGGACTTAAGTGACGAAACCACCACCACCATCATACCACTTATAAGTGAAAATATAATCCCTGAAGAAGTCCCTGAAATCTACAACAGCTAGGCCATGAAGACAAGCTGGTGTGTGAAACTGTGCTAACCTACTTCCTTCTTCTCCAGAACTTCCAGGGCAATGAAGCCATGTTTGAAGCAGTTGAACAGCAAGACATAGATGCCGTGCAGATCCTCCTGTATCAGTACACACCAGAAGAACTAGATCTCAACACACCTAACAGTGAGGGGTTGACACCTCTGGATATTGCCATCATGACCAACAATGTACCCATTGCTAGGACTCTTCTGAAGACAGGGGCCCGAGAAAGTCCACACTGTGAGTAAACTTGAGAATAAAACACATACTATTAAGGGCACAGTTTCATCCCACTGAAGTAGTCATTACTGGCCACTGGAAAGAATGATTGATTAACCATAGGCTCTGAAATCCTTTACATGTTTTCATGCAAATAGTGACAGTGTCTATATGTCTAAACATCCAGTTACATTTTAAATAGAATATATGGAGTGGTATTGGACAGGAACTTCAAAAGAACTTCCTCTTAAGAATTGAACGCAACCTTTAAGATATGTGAAATACCCCCAAATAAAGCTATAGTTTCCTTATTCTCTGTATAAGGAAGTATACATAGAGAAAAGAATGAGATAGGAAAAAGAATGAGCATGTGGATGTTAGTGTCTTTCTATTCACAATCAATATGGTGGCTCCATTCATTTATTCATTTAATCAACAAACACCAAGGAAAGGGCACGTTCTAAGTACTTGGAACACAGTGGTGAGCAGGATAAAAATCTCTGCACTTATAGAACTTATATTCCAGTGGAGGAGATTTCCAACAAGCCAGAAAATAAATAAAATATAAATTCAAATAGTGATAAACACCATGAAGAAATAAAGTGAATGAGTGGGTAGAGATTGGTAGAGTGAGACTATTTTAATAGCCTCTCTGATATAGTGACACTTGCTCCTAGTCCTAGATGAGATCAAGGAATGACCCATGAGACGATCTGGGGGTTAATTCTAGGCAGAGTGAAGGGCAGGTAGGAAGGTTCTGAGGCAGGCAGGAAAGAGATTGCCATGTTTCTGAAGAACAAGAAGGCCAGAGTGGCTAAAGCAAAATGAACACAGGAGAGAGTGATGCCTAAGGGACACGTCACCAGGACCAGATGGTTCAGGATGAGAGAGGCCGTGGCGAGATGCTTCACTTTGATTGTATGTGTGATAGAGACATAGTGAAACAGTTTAAACCGATGAAAGACACATTCTGGGGAATCCCCTGGCAGTCCAATGGTTAGCACTCCTCACTTTCACTGCTAGGGCCCAGGTTCAATCCCTGGTCAGGGAACTAAGATTCTGCAAGCCACATGATGTGGCAAAAAAAAGAAAGACATTCTGCTCTGTGGGGAAGACACAGTGATGAGAGCAATTGTGAAATTGTAAAAATCAGCTAGGAGGCCATTCTAATGGTCCAGGTGACAGATGCCAGTTGCTTGGATTAGCACAGTAGTGACATTGATAGTGAGCAGGGGTGGAATTCTGGATGTATTTTTTAACAGCTTTATTGAAATATAATTTACATGCCATACAATTCACCCACTTATCATGTATAATTCAAAGATTTTTAGTATAAGCACTGGCTTGGCAACCATCACCACAATCAATTTTAGACCATTTTCATTACCCCAAAAGAAATCCCATACCCTTCAGCTATCACACCCCCACCTGCCAACTCCTCAGCCCTGGACAACTACTTTCTGTTTCTATAGATTTGCCTATTCTGGACATCTGACATAAATGGAATCATTTAATATGTGACCTTTTGTGAATGGCTTCTTTCTGAATGTATTTTGAAGTAGAGCTGATAGTACTTGCCAAAGGGAGCTGCTCTGGGCCCTTGACCCTGCCCGGGAGTGGATGGGGTAAAATCACACAGCCCTTGCCCTGTGCCAGGTACTATTCTGAGCACTTTACATGTATTGACTCCTTTAATCCTCACACAACATTCTGAGGTAGGCACTCACATTCCCCTAGGTGCAAACTCTCTGACCCAAAGACCACAGTGGCTCTGAGCCACAGTTTTTATGTTTCCTAAAAGAAAAAAGTAAACTCATCAAATTGTTAGTTTCACTAATACTGATTCACTCACTTCCAAGTGGTGAGACCCAGAAGGCTGAAAGAGAAGCAACAAATATATAATTAGAGGTCACATCTATGCTCCTAAATTTCATAAAACCCCGCCACCCAAAGACTAGGTACAGAGGCAGATCCTTGTATCAGAAAACTCTTTCTTTTAAAAATGCTAGGCTCACCACATCCATGTCCAAAAGAATGAGGACTTGGGTTCAGTAGCATGGGGCTCTTCAGTAAGAGCTCCTTCGTCAAAGTGCCGCTTCTTTTTAGTGGAACTGGAGGATTTGGATGGATGGGCAAATAAGGATGGAAGAAATGAGAAAGGTTTATTTGCTGCCTTCCAATTTATGTTGCAATAATGTCTGTCCCAAAGATCCAGTGAGAGAGCAGTGGGGAGAGAATCAAGGGGTCTGAACACAGAGAATGCAGACTGAGCCCCATTCTATAGGAACAAGGAGACCATTCATCCAGATGGTGCCTGCACTGTGCTGGATGAAACATTACTCTTACTTACCTGAGACGCTACAAAAAATGTCTGCATTTTCCACGAAACCAGTAAGACTCCCAATCCCCCCCAATCCCCTTTGTGCATAATTAAATCTCCATAAAAGAGCCCAAGTACTAAATATCTAGTTAAACCAAAAGAAAATTCATTGAAAAGATCCCTGGTCTTTCCTCATTCCCTGTGGGATGATAACCACATTATCATCACAAAGTTGTAAAGGATAGTGAGAGAGAAACCCAGGTTTTAGCCTCTGGGAAATATAATACCTAAGTCACCTCGGCCACCCAAAAAGTTAAAGAAACAGGATCGTGCATAGACTCCCACATGTGTAAAAATGGCAAAGGACAACTGATTGAGGGCCTGTGAAATCTCCATATGCATTATCTCCAGTTTTCACACTGGCCCTTCAGGATAATGTTATTAACTCCATTTTGAAGAAGGGGAATTTGTGAGAGGTTATGTGACTGACCAAAGGTCACACATCAAGCAAATGAATAAGGGTGTCAAAGACTGAAGTCCAAGTGTGTGGGATACCATACATGGGGTCCTGCTGTGCAAATTTGCTGTCTTTCCAAGTAACCAGTATGGAAGGCTGTGGTCACTAGACCCCTTTCTCTTTCCCTTTCCCTTTTTGCTATTTGCTGAAATTCCATTGTGTGTTTCTTTGTTCTGTTCTGTGCACTGAGATGCCATTTCTGTTGGAAAAAAGCAGGATAGAAGAACACAATCTGTTTTCAGGGATTTTTAATTCACTTTATATATCAAGTACAAAAGAAATCAAATTGCTTCTGTGTGTGAGTGTGAGTCAGTCCAAGAGAAAAACAGTCTGGCAGCCAGAACCAGGTAAGCAAGCATCTGTTGCAAACTGTTCCACAGAAGCAGTAGAGGCAGGATAGAAGAGTAATAATAATAATAATAATAATAATGATAACAATGAGGTCTTAAGTTCTTAGAGTATTTTACATATTGTGAAAATGCTTTTGCTTACATTTGATCCTGACCACTGGTTTGTGAGATGAGAGCTTCCTAAAATAATGAAAAACAAATAATTTATCCAGTACTCTAAAGCTAATAAGTGGTGGACCCACAATTTGAACCCAGATCTTCTGTATTAAACGCTTTGGTATTGAGTATTAAATGTATTTAGTATTTGGTATTAAATGCTTTAGGTATTTGTAGAAAAGTATTAGCCCACTTCCTGACACAATGTGGATATTCATTTCCTTCCTTCCCTAACTCTTCTCCATCTGTTTGTCTTCTAATGCCTGTCAAATATTTCAGGATTTCCAATAGGGTAAAATTTCTGTCTTCCCTTCCCCTGTGTGTTCCCTTCTGAAAACAGCCCAATACTCTTTCACCATGCCAACAAAAGAATTCGACATAATTCAGAAGAAAGTCCTCTGTATTTGTTTCCATTTCAAAACAGGAATCACAAAAACACAGATACGTCTGGGGACATAACCTCCTAAGCTATTGGTCAGGCATGTCGTCCAGGTTTTAACCCCTCAAAGCATAGAGCGATATGGAGCTGTTCTCAATAAACATGGCTTGAAATCCAGGCATGTACATTTCCTTACTCGTAAGGGAAGTGCCAGAAGCCACCACCCAAATTTGCACACTGCCCCAAGGTTAAATATATATGGAACTTCAGCCTGCTCATTAGATGAACCAACTGTCTTTATTTGGCAACTATTTTCTGTTCCTCCCACCTTTAGGTGAGCAGCACAAAGTAACATTCATTCCTTCTAGAAGAAAACATCAGCCATTATTGAAGTAGAATCCCACGTAGGTGTGCCGAGCTTAGGAAACAGGCCCAGAATCTCAAAGGACCAGACCTAGGAAAACTAATCCACAGAAGTACTTCAGGATACCTGGGGACTATACTTTTTATTTTTTCACCCATTCAGTATCCTACTTGCTATAACACAGACTCAGTTGAACAACTGCTATCTGAGAAAGACTCGTTCCATGTCTGAAAGTCCCCTGTCATAGACCCCACCCTTATTCCAACTCATACCCTGCCCTCACCTTTGAGTCACACTCCCACAGTCTCAGAGGTGTTTACTGAGTCATCAGTGAGATCCTTGCCTTTCTGAGGTTGCTACCTGTTGGGCATCGTTTAGGCTCTCCCCATGGACAGAGGAGCCTGGCCGGCAAAGAGTCGGACACAACGGAGCAGCTAAGCACAGCACAGAACAGGCTCTATTCTGTGACCATAAAAAAGCTAGTTCTTTCTGGACACCTACCATATGCAAATCTGGTCACTCCCATGAATGTTAACTCATCTTTTGATCCCAACACCTGGCACGTAGTAGGGGCTGAGAAATTTTCAGGTGAAATTTTAAGACCTGTCTTATGCTGTTGGGAATCACAGATATTGAATTTTAGCACACACACATGTGCACTCACACACACAGTGTATGAAGAAAACTTTGTCTTCCAGTAATTTACACTGTGGGGAACCTTCTGTTGCTGCCATTATTGTGTTTTCCAGGCACTGTTTTGAAATTTTATTTGTAGACATAGCCTGACTTTTTGTTTTTACACTGATTAATAACATGGCGGACTGTTCTTTCTGCCCTTTCCTATAGCTGCATTCTCCCTTCTGCCCAGACCCTCTCCTCCCTCTCTGCATTTCATTGTGAACTCCTCTCTCTTGCTTTCCCTGGGATACTGCCTG